TAATTTCACCTGTGCTCTTGTTTTCTGCCCGGTAACGTGAGCGCCGTCGTGAAAACGCTGTAAAATAATCCCGCTCGGCTTTCGGAGAGGAGGAGGGGGGGGAAAAGTTTAGACGAGAAAAAAAATCTGCTTACAGGGTGCCCTAAAGAAAGCCGTGCCTGTATTTTATTGGGTGCCATTCACTCCCCCCACCATGCAATTACGTTCCCTCTGAAGGTGGCGTGGGGTCAGCCGAGCAATTGGCTCGGTTTCCCAATTGTCGTGTGGATAATAGCTTCAAGGTGGCCAATTACGGGCGTGGTGCGGTGTTCTGGGTGTTCTGGCGTTTGATGTGCCATCCAACGCCCCTTATTTCTTAGACCTCCTGCCCTCCCGAGTGTCCGAGTGGGAAGGTTGTGCCCGTTTGTGAGCGACCCAGCCGCTCGTGATTTGTACTTAACCCCCTACTTCATCAGCCCGTTCACATTAAAATGTTGACTGTCCTCTCATTTTTTTGCCTTCATTTTCATTGCTTTAAAACTGTACATTCAATTTGCTTCCATTTATTTATCTTGGTAAGGATTTTTTGGGATTCCAATATCTCTGTGGAAATGAGTTCTGAGTAACCTTAGATATGTAGAGAGGGTTTTTTCACTTGAGCCAATATTTTTTTCCTCCACAAATTCTCCATGGTGTCACGCACCGAGCCTTCGAGGCCAGCCTAGCCTGGTTGTGTCGAGGCCCGCGATGGCCTCACGTGAACGGGCTCAGCCACAGAGGGATGCCTGCTGGGGCCATGTTTTTGCTCCCGGCTCTCGCAGATCCGACGGCGGCCCGAGCCGTTCCCTCGGCACGTCCGTCCATATTGTCTTGGACCCGTCGCCAGGAGACCGGGCGGGCGGTTTCATCGCAACACCCCGTGGCTCGGGTGGCCGGCGATGGCCTCCGTGTGTTCTGCCCGGTCCCGGTAGCGTGGCCCGGGAGAGGCGGTGACGTGCATGACCAGCATCGCCCTGCTGCTCGCAGTCCCCCATCCGCTTGCGGTTTTACGCATCGCGGGAGCTGCACGCGGGTTTCACGACAGTCGTGTTCACGGAGGGCGAGAGCTGGCTGGCGTCGGTGGGTGAAAATAAGCGTGAAATTACCGCGTCTCGTCCGTGTGTATTTCACGTTGCCGTATTTCTTATTCATGCAGGGTGTTTTATAAACATGAGCAAAGTATGGCCAAGCGTTTTTAACAAGGCTGTTCCTCACCTGTCAGCGCTTCGTTGATTGTCGTCATCCCCCTCCCCCGCAGTCTGCGATTATAGACTGATGCGTAGAGAAGTGCCGCATTGAGTATCGTCTTCACCATTAACTTGTAAGTGGCTCTGTTTTGTAAATGTGTGTTCAATCTTTCTGTTTACGTTTTTGTACGTGCACTGCTAGTTTGTCATAATGTTACATCCGTCTACGTAATAATAAAAACATTGAAAGCCTGGTTAAGTTTGCCCGTAAACATACACGCAGCCTTTACAATCTAATTAGGCCATTAAACTTAGATTAAAACACACTTTGAAAAAAGAGAGAGAATAAACTTCAAACAAATATTACTTGAAAGGAACAGCAGCATTAACGAAGGCTATTAAAAGGCAGGAGACCCGTGGTGGCTGGCACAGTGTGTGGCGCCCAGAGGGCCCGCTCATAATGACCTGGGTGGAGCAGTTTCCGCGTTTTGAGTTTGGGATGAAAAGTGCCCTATTTTGGTCGTTGTAAAACATGTGGCTGGCACCGCAGTGTTGTGATTTGCTTAAATATTTCCAGGACGCATGCGCGTGCACGTGTTTGAGCAGCCTCGTGGTGTGCGTGTTATCTCGATGATCGGCTCTCTCCTCGTGTTCATTTTTGTGTTGTTGCTCGGACTTTTTTTTTTACGGTCCGGTCTTCTCCTTCCCCCCACTGTGTTACTGGACTCTGCCGGTATGCGTAACCCGATCGCGGTCCACCTGTGCACTCTCATGTTCTGCTCCTTTGTTCGCCTTTATGTGTGGCATTGCGCGCTCGTTCCGCCCTGCTGACGGCCACCGTCGCCCCGAGCAACGTGCCGGCTCCTTGATGTTTTTTATGCGTCGTCACCGACCCACGGGACACCGCGTGTGCACGCCGTGTGCCACACCACCGCCGCGAGACATTAAGACGTCAGCTCGTTCGCTCACTCGTTTATTCATCTCGCCTTTTTTCTTTAAATGTGACACCGTTGAAGATGACTTTGATTGTAGGTGGACGGTGGCTCAGGCGCCCGAAGCATTGAGCTGACAACTCGGAGATCCTGGGTTTGAATCTGGGCAGCCTCCCCGTGGGTATACCGGCTTCTCACGTGTAGCGAGGTGACGATCTTGGCCCGGTCACCAATGATCGTACAATTAAAAAAAACTATCGCTTTAAATTAGATGTTTCACTTTGTTTGGATGATTCCAACTCTGAGACTTTTTCTCGGTTTCATTGACATGCGACCGACACGTATAAGGGCATATAAAAGGTGTGTCCCTCACATGAATAAACAGGCCTGTTGCAGTAATCTCATCAGTAATTCTGTGACGTCATCTTCTGTGGCAGCTCTCTGACACGGTGATGCACTGCTCGCTTCAGAGTTCCCAATGGACATTTCTTCATCTCATGAGACCACACTGAGAGCACAATTTGAATGTCATCATGAAAAGAGAAGTAACGATAGATAAAAAAATAGAGTTAATCAGGTCACATCTGTGCGGTATTCCACAGAGAATGTTCGGGAATGTGCAGTGGTTCTTCTCTTTTCATATCGTATGATCAGCCGCTCGGTCAGGACACATATCGGGGCACGGCCCCTCAAATCGGGGGCAAGGCCCCCCTCACCCCGGTGACCTGAGTGACACTTCCAGGAAAGCGGGTGGTGGGGGGGGGGACCGGCAGCACAATCCCTTCAAGGAAAACGCTATCGCGCTAAGTTGTCAGCTATATGTTGTTTCTCGCGTGTCGCATGGATGGTTTTAGCCACAGTCACGGCTCGCGGTAGCCCAGATTAGACGAGAGCTTTGTGTCCGCTGTATTGTCTGCGACGAGCTGGACGGGTATGAACGGGCCCGGTGTCCAAAGAACGGTGTGTGTAGCAATACAGCTTCTAGGAAAATATGGCGTGTGACCTGAGAGAGGCTAGTAGATTTGTGTGTGGGTCCACGTATTTTGTACGGATACGCGACCACATCCTACACGTATCCTGCGGTATGATAGGCATACATTTCCTGTGTTGTGTGTGCGCGTGGCCCAAAAAAAGTACATGCTACTCTGATTATCGTCACGCTAACGGTAAAAAAACGCATTATTTATGCCCGTTGAAAATCACATTCCTAAATTGAAAAGTGTTTATTTTAGAACGTTATATATCGGCAGAGTTTAGTGAATCAGTTTCTAGACTTTTTTGTAGCGGGGAAAAGTGTGGGGACCATGACACACTCCTTTGTGGTTTCCCAGAATTGAAAAGTGGTTCACACTGAGACTGAAGCACAGGACGAGTAGGAGACTGTTACGTATGAACAGTTTAAGAAATTAAGCAACCTCATCGAAATCAACATCCCACAATGATGGTAATAATCCATAATAAACCACAATTTCTAAATCGTGCTCATAATGCATGATAAAAACATATTGTGTGTCATTTTGGACTCGATTATCTTGGAGATATCTCAGTGGTTTGCTACTCGCACAAAAATGAATGCACCATCCCCATCTCAGCGTGGTTTGCATGAGCACGTCCGACACCATGGTATTTTAGTAGGATTTCTCCTCTTTGTCAATAAAGGTGGACACGTTTATCTCTATGAATTACCTTCCTAATTGTTTGACGTACGACGAACCGGTTAAAGTCCACTTCACAGTCATTCTGATGATTGCCCCCAACTTTAAAGTCGCTTGAATGTAAATTTCAAATCGTGGATCTGCCCATATGTTGTGTAATAATTATAATATTATTTTACAGCTCCATGTCAATCAACTGCTGGAACTGGTGTGTCCGTCATGGTTTGTTTGACTATACTTCACCGCTTTGGTCGGTGTGGGTTTGTTGAAGTGGGGGGGGGGGGGAACCAGAAATAGTTCAGATATTGCTCACCACTAACGTTAGCCGGAAATCGTCGCTGGGTTGCACTAACCACTGCGGCACTGCTCCGCATACTATATATAGCAGAATACATATCTGGACGCGATGGTGCTTTCAAGTGGGCACGCAGAGTCGAGTAAATACAGTGCCGTGGCGCACGTGTTTTTGCGCAAATTGCCCGCGCTGCCATTAGTATCGTGCGCATAGGCCCCCCTGCGCGGGCGCACGTGTGTTTGACCCAATGCGGCGTGTGAAAAAACTGTTGAGAGCGTAGCTCTGTTGCGGTTTCCTCGCAAGTGTCGCTGTTGTCATTCGACCGTAGACCGTCGCCAAGGCAGGCGAGGGAACTCTCCAAACGTGTGGCAGCCGATGCACGAACACCCAAGCCCATGTCTGCCCGCGTAATTGGTTTTTAGCGCGTCGTGGGAAGGCAGCACGCCAGGCTGATCTCGGTAGGGCCGTGCAACACACGGGCGCGATGTGCCAGAGCCCAGCTCGCCTTGTGCCGGATATTCACTCATGGAAAGTCAGGAGCCTGGCAGGAGGGAGAGGATGTGTAAAATGTTGTTTATCGTCATCGTCAAAATAAAGCCCCATGTCATGGAGGAAAGCCAGAGTTTGCGTTTTTCAATGACACACGTGGTGGCTGTGGTGGGAGGGAAGGGTGAGTGCGTTGGGTAGGGTTGGGGCTCGTGGAATGAACTTGAAGGAAACTTTCTATCACCGTGCTGTTTTCCTTGCTTAATCTCTTTCCCACGCCACAGTGTATTTAAAAAGCACACAATAATACTTGGGATTCCATCATCAGCCAGTGTAAAAATGGTCTCGTGGTTTTTATTTTTTGTTCGTCGGGCGGTGTTGTGTTTTTCTTCCAATTAAGTTCTGCTTCATGTCGCTTGTTTTTCAGGAAATGGGAAATTTCTGCGAGAGGACACGTTGAGTAAACAGGAAGGGCACAGGGGGAGCACGGCACCCCCACAGAGCCCTGCGGCCGAGGTCCCCACGGTGGCGCCCAGCTGGACGGCCAGACCCAGGTACGGCGGCGGCGGCGGAAAGACGCGCCCCCTCCCACGATCGAGCACAGGCTTGGCTGGAGCGTGGTTGTGCCTGTGCGGAAGACAATGGGTCATGTTTGTGGGTTTAAAAGATGGGCGAGGCTGCATTTGCGCACTTGGGAGCGTTGCTCTGTGTCATTTCACAACCCTGGGACCGAACGTGTGAATTTTTTGGAACAAGAGGAAGTCGCTGAGCCAAAATATATTTTATTGTGCCCGTTGTAAATCACAGTGTACCGCTAGCAGCCATTGGATCGTGCTTCAGGCTTGGACTGTGCTCGCTTTTTAAGATTGAGTGTGCGGTTTTATTTTCTTTCTCCCCACCATAAATGTCGGACTCCAATCCCCCAAACGTCTGGTGTACCAAAAACATTCTCTGCTCCTTAACAATACAAAATAAAAGACATATTCTTGTGTTTGTAATGTAGGGTATGCAGCAGTACCAAGCAATCTTTGTGAGAGATCTTCACTTCTTCGGGGATGAGAAAACTAGGGCAAGGTCATTGAAACAGGTATCTGAATATAGGGCAAGCCGTGTCTGTCTGCCCGAAAGAAACGGGAGCCGTTTATACTGGCGCGTCATGGGCTTTGACACGTGCGGCGGTTCCGTGCCTTATCCTTGACCTTGCCCACACTTCGATCGCTGGCTCCATTGGAGCCGAAAGCCCGTATGTTGGGACGCTCTGACCTGGCGCGATCGGACGGCGTTCGGTCCGCGCTGGAGTCGGATATTCTGTTCATTGAACCGCTCGCACAAACGCCCGGAATGCCCTGGTTTGGCACGCACGTGTGAGTGTGCGTGTCAGCCAAGGCACTGGCACGAATGTACGCCTGCATCCTCTTAATTTCAGTTAAGCTCGGCACACGCAGGGAGTCCTATGAAGAGTGCTCCTCCTCTATGCCCATGGGCAAGTTCCTGGCTCAAATTCACACCAACCTATCCAATCCCACTCCCCAGTCGAGCACAGTGTGTCCTTGAAATGCTGGGCTTAATGCAGGGGCAAGGTTCCTCGGTATATCTATTTTGCTAATAAAACCCTGTTATTTCCATGGAGACCAACGTTTAACCTATTCACAGCTTGTTATGTTATTTAAATTGCTTTTTCTATTGTGTAATACAATATAAAAGAAAGGTTAAAAACATCATGGATTCCACTGAAAAGCACAAGCCAATTCTGGAACGCACAATCCAGTGCAACCCGTGGTATATCGTAGAGTACAGTTCTCAAGTGCGACTGCCTGGCACGTGATGTTTCTGCATGGAGACCCACCGAACAAGTCACCATCGCATTGTACACTTGCCTTTCTGAGCTTAAGGAGTGTGTTTTCATTTTTACATTTTATGGGTGGCCAAAAAAATACCCCGTTATTACATGTGGGTCACGGTATATCTGCTCACACGTTTCCAATAATACACTGCTTTGGCATGTACCTACACATATATGCAACAGCCGCCATTTGCCACTAAGTGGCGGTGACGTCACTATGGTGCTTTTGCCAGGCCAGGTGCACTCCGAGGCCACGTGAAGTGTCGAAGGCTCGCATATATGTAAGCCTTAACAGACTGTTGGGGCAAGTGCTGTTGGCGAGCACCTATGAAGGCCAGCACGGCACATGAGGGGCTGTGTGGCCAGCACCACGCCCGACCGCCTTTGTCTCAGCAGTGGAGATGTTTGCACACTGCATTAGGTGCTCATTTGAGGATGAGTCGACCTTGGGGAGACCCAGGACCGGTTCAGATAATCGTCACTGGTGTTGGCCATGAGTGGGAATCGAACTCCGGTTGCCGGGTTCATAGCGCAGCAAGCTAACCGCTTCACTACTACTCCCCATCGCATATATGCACACAGGCACAATTGAACATCAATACACACGTGTGTTCCATAAGACTGTGTCATCGGTGAGCCGTGGGCTATGTGTAGACGTGTGTCATGAAGGCGTGCGCACAAACAGCTGCTCAGTCGGAGTCATATGACACGTCCAAACATTGAACATTCTCAGTCAGGGTTAAGCAATGATTACAACTGACAATTTTGTACAAACGCTTTAAAAGTTGCGCAATAAGGTCACGAAGTTAAGGTGCGCGCATGTGTCTTGTGTATGTGTGCGCATTCTTGGGCTACGCCCGAGCTAGACTTTAGAATGACGTCTAACATCACCGTGTGTTTGTCAGGTTCAACCAGGTAAGACAAATGCCCGAATGCAAATGCCGCTCCCCGTGAGGTGTTTGATGTATGTGCCGAACATCGGTTGCGTCTGGAAATTTCTGGCTTGAGTAGCACTGGCTCGCACTCAAGCCTTTCTAGTTGGGTGGATTTTGACACTTTTGAAGGTTAGGGCAAATTCCTACCAGGCACGCGCATGCAAATGATATGCAAACCATGTACAGTGCGTGTGTGTGTGGGAGAACATTTTTTTGTATTTTTACATTGTGAGAATTAAAAGGAGAAAAAAAACTTTCCCCGCCTCTCATGTCCTGCGATTCTGAGGGAAGCAGTTTGCATTTCTGACGAAATGTTTGGTCTGACTCATCCTGCATCCTACGTGAGTGTATGCCTACATGCATGTATGCCTTACAACGTTGGCAAAAAAAACGAACTAACGGTGCAGTCACTTGCATTGGATCGTTACTCATCGACTTCGCTATGCTCAATGACTTAATGAATGGGTGCTTTTGTCATTCAATTGCATAGTTATTATTATTATTGTGTGGTAGCCGTGCACTCAGGTCGGAGACAATCCAGCTGTGTCTGTGTTGCGTGTGTGACGTGGGCAGCTCATGCTTGCACCGACCACGTGAGAGGGAGTCGGGGCGAAGATCGAGTGGGCGACGTCCCTGGCCACGTCGAATTTGTTTTTTGCGTGCAGGCCCAGCGATGGTTGGCCTGCAGCGGCACAGTGGTTTGCCACCGAGCGGTTTTCCACCGAGCGGTGTGCTTGCTGCGAAGGTCACGCAATTTGTTTTGAGACCGAGAGAGGAAATTTGGCAAAGGTGGAAGTCACACCTAACACCTGGGCTTATTTCGAAATCTCAGTCCCCGTGTTAATGGCATATTGCAATCGATTTTGACAATGTACTATATTCAGGTGTAAAGCGCTTGGTGTAAGTGTGGTTTATTTGTAGTGTACGTTATATCCTGTGATTTTAAAATATATATAATGTCCTTGTATGTGTATAGTTTATTTGTTTTTTTTATTGTATGTCACGACAATTCTGCATCAATCAATAATTATAATCTACACTCTTATGTATTGACACATTATAATAGGTTCTTTTGGAAACTAGCACTGTCCCAGAATTTTTTCATTTTCAGAGACACGCCAATATAACAACTGCACTTCCGTGTGAATGCATTGTGCGAGTGTATGCATGGGTATTTATAGTTTGGGTTAAACGCCGACGTCATTGCCACATGCATATTTCCCCATGAGGTTCAGTTTTCGCACAAACATTGCGTTTTTGGGAAGTGACGGTGTGTCAATGTTGACATAAATATCCTCGTGTGGAGCATTTAAAACATCCTTTGTCCCGTTGCTCATTGTAACGCTTTTAGCCTCTGTGGGAGATGCTTGGACGTCGCGACTGACGACAAACCGCTGCCCAGACCTCGTTGTGGAGTCGCAGGCTGGTCGCAGGCTGGTCGCAGGCTGGTCGCAGGCTGGTCGCAGGCTGGTCGCAGGCTGGTCGCAGGCTGGTCGCATCCGCAGCCTTCTCTCCCCGTGACTAAGGCCCTCTGGGGGAGAGGGGTGCTCCCGCGGGAGGGCGACGCGACAGCTGACTCACCAGGCTCTGCCGATTTTATTCCATCTCGTTATCTGCAGCGCCGTGAGGCTCGCACAGGAAGCCCCCCCCGTTCCACGTGGTTTCTGTGCGTGTGAAGCTGTGGCTAGGGGTAAGGCAAATAAAGGAAAACGCAATGCATTGTTTTCCTTTTGAATTGTTTTTAGATGGCAATTTTAATCCGGGACGTAGCGCGTGCTTTTTTAAAGAGTCCGACCGTGTGGAGCACTGCAGCGAGCGGAGGTTTAACCTCGTGCTGCGATCACACCGTGGTGGTGCAAAGCTGTCGTGGACCATGTAGAGATGATGCTTGCAAGAGGCCACCTGCAGAGCACAGGATGCCTGTAAATGGGCTGCATACAAAGTACCTGTATAAACTATCTGTGTGGGGTTTGAGTATTTTCCCATACGCGTGGGTTTCATATGATACTACGGTGGCCTTCCACGTGCAAAAAACGCTGGAAAAAAAAATGCTTCAGAAGGCCTGATGAGACTTATTTCTGAAACCTGCTGCATTGGGATGTCTGGCCCATTCCACGAATTAGCACGGTTAGCTACGTACGGTGCGGAAGAAGTTCAACACATATACAATGGGGTGTTTTGGTAAATTTTGAGAACCAATGAGGCTTTGATGGAGAAATAAGGTATTGTTATTATTGTTCTCAAAACAATAAACGCATAGCAGGAATCTGTCGGCGTCTCCTCCGGAAAATAATACGGCACTGAAGAGCCCGCCACGCTGGCAGGGCCCGCTGAGAGAGATCTGACCTTCGCTGTGCGTGCGTTCGTAAAGCGTTCCCTCGTTTTGTCGGTGAGAGCCGTCGGCTGGGTGGCGGGCACCCGGTGATGGATTGGCAACAAAAAAAAGTGCACGCTTGGCAAGCACTGAAGTCTGTGCAGGAAAAGTGAAGAGTGGCTCTAGTGGGAGCCTCGTGGTAGGGAGTGCGCCAGCCGCCAAACACTGAGGGTCCTTGTATCATAAAAATACCAAAAAAAACCCATAACAAGCGAAAACGCAGGACGTGGCGGTTTTGCGAACAATTGTCCAAACCCGGTTACGGGGAGACGGTCGTGACCTCTGTGCGCGGGTTTCGGAGTGGCGTGTCACCTCTAGACGTTGTGCAAGCCGCTTGCCAGGCGAGAAATGTCGTCGGTGGGTACACGAGGGCCCACCGAGCCCCATCCACAGGTCAAGGGG